AGGACGAGACGTGAAAGGACGAGACGTGAAAGGACGAGACGTGAAAGAACACCCTCAAAAACATAAAACGTTGGTTTTGATGGTCAGAATAAATCTTGCACTGTTTTAACCAGTCTTCAAAAAATGTAGGTCGCTGCTCATTCCTAAAACCTTTACACAGAACGGCAGCGAGAGTCATGTCAAAGTGTAGAAACATTAGCTAATGTATCCTACCTTGCTGGATGGACGTTTGCTCTATGATGGACGTCACAGCTGATCTGACAGAACGACAGAGCTTCCCTTCAATGCATTTCTAATGAAGACATGAGAACTTCCTCTGCTGACCGATTGTTTGGTTCTCCAACAGCCGCCCAGATATCGCCCTCCTCTGGTTCCTGATCCCGCTCAAAGCTGCGAAGCACCTGGTGTGTGACCAGTACAGGTGGCTGACCATCAAGATCGTCACGGCTCTGCTGCTGCTGGCCATCCTGGGGCTGTTCCTCTACAACATGCCCGGCTACATGGTGAAGAAAATGCTGGGAGCTTGAGGGCAACGCCAGGGAGCGACTTATTTTGGTTCTTTTTTTATTATTTCTGGTTCTTTTGGGTGTGCCGTACGCAACGACTTTAATTTGACGTTTGTTTTTTTCCCCCCAAATACTGTGTTTCATAAAATAGTTTTTAAACTTGTAAAACATGCATTAATACAATTTATCAACAATAGAATTGATCATTTGTTTTGAGTGTTTCCATTACTGGTATTTGTACAAATCTTATATTGCTATTGTTACAAGGCTCTCTTCCTTATTTGCTTTAAATCTGTTGTCCACTTCATTAAAAAAGAAGATGGTTGTCACCCACAGCCGAATATGTCAGTCAATAATATAGATTTGTAGCTAAAAATTGACGAGGTATAGCTAAGCATCATTACTAACACGTACTCCGAGCACAATATTTTTACTTTAACTGCTGACACCAATCCTGTCTATTAGAAAAACCTTTCATGAACAACTGGATACATTTGACTCATTACCATTAGGAAGCACCCCAAACCAAGAACCCTTAGTTTCATTAGTCAACACATACATTAAGCTAAACTTTAAGTGGTAGTAGCTGAGACTGATCCTCAACTCAAAATCTGATTGCAGATCTCACAACATCTTATGAAATCAGGCATAAAACAGGCTATAACTCTATCCCCTCTCAGCATCAGATGATCTTAGATGACAAATTAAATATATATATATATATATATATATAATATATAGACGATGGAATGAGGTTATTGAGCATAGGTTGACTTGAGTTTTGTGTTTTAGCCTCACCTGTTTCTCTGACATGTCAAATTTGTGAATAAAATTACTTGCAGACCAACAAATTTTCTTGTGGATTTCTCTATAATTAGAAACACTTTCAGTTGTAGGATATTAAAAATGATTGATCATCTCAGTGTTTTATCAATATAACTTATTGATCTGTGCTTAGTTTAACCTTTATTTAAATAAATGTAATAAATTAAAGCATTTATCGGGTTTTATTTTACTGCGAAATGTTTCAAGAAATAAGAAATATTTTTAACGTAAGTGGTCATGACCTTAAAGTGCTCCACAAAGTCCTGACCCAGTAGGCTGTAATTTAGAAATGAAATTACAACAAATTTTATTTTTATTGTAGTATTTTCTAAAAAGGTCCAGAGGACCAGATTGAACTTTTTTGGATTTTTCTACCGGGATTATTGAGCATGCATCAGGATATTTTCTAAAAAGAGCTTTATTCAAGCGACACTCTGCTGCCACCTGCTGGTTATATGTAGTAATAACACTCTGCTGCCACCTGCTGGTTAACAGTAGTAATAACACGCTGCTGCCACCTGCTGGTTAAAGGTAGTAATAACACGCTGCTGCCACCTGCTGGTTATATGTAGTAATAACACTCTGCTGCCACCTGCTGGTTAAAGATAGTAATAACACGCTGCTGCCACCTGCTGGTTATATGTAGTAATAACACTCTGCTGCCACCTGCTGGTTATATGTAGTAATAACACGCTGCTGCGGCGAGTTGAGCGATTTCTTCGCCCAACACACGTTTAGATCAGGAAGTAGTAGTACTATCATCATTTCATGGAGAAATACTTTGTCATGCGGTAAGTTTACACATATTTTATTTATCACGTTTTATTATCCAAAATAATACATTTATGTATGTCCCGCCTAAAACAAGGCGTTTTTTGTGCGCGTTCTGGCGTTGGGACAGTTGCATACAGAGCTAAAAAGGATAATTGTACAATCTTTGATAATTAATCATGAATACAACTGTTACTTGGTATTGCTTCAGAGCAGCAGTGAATGCATCGTGAATAAATGTTGCTCATTTGTAAGTTCTCTGAATGCTGAGTGAAAAAAGTGAAATGGTGTAATGATTGTTTTATGAATTCTAACAATATTTAGACAAGTAACATTGTGTTTATGCTTGTTTCCTTTCTCATTCCACACAACTCCTGAGGGTCGACTCCTCATGGGGCCAACTGAGGAGGCAAACAGATTGTGGTGGCAGGGAGGGCCCGGCATTACAAGGACATTCTGGCTGAGGGTTAGGGTGGGCACTGGGCACCCTATGTGGGCACCAAAGTTAAAAAAATAAAATTCACAATTTGTACTGTAATGTGGAACGTAATTTTATTCTTGTTAGAATTAATATTAATTACAGAATTGGTACCGAAAAAAGAACCGTCCAGGTACCGACACCGGTACCGATACCAATTTTTTTAGAAAGGTACCAGCCCTACTGCTCAGAGACGGGATTATAATGAAATTATGACCCGGTTCTGACTGGGTTAAACTGGGCCAGCAACTCTAAAGAGAGTCTCCCTGGGATTTCAATATCAGTCAAGGAATAGTTTAATCTGCTTGCCACATCACGTAGAAAGGCTTTTGAAGCACCGTCTCATATTTCCTAACACGTCAGTCCAGGCCGAGTTCTTTGGACTTTAAAACATGACCACCATACAAAATAAGTAAATTACTTTTTATTTTATTTTTTACAGCATCAGCAGACAAGATGTAAGTTTTAGTTTCTCTAGAACTGATGACTCTAACTAATTAATCCAGCTGATGTTGGAAATGTTGGTGTGAGTGACGAGGACATTTATAAGTTTCTTAGATTCTGACTGAAGGGTTCTGTTGTGGTGGCTCAGTCTGGTAGACGCCTGTCTTCCATCTGAGCTGCGTGGGTTCACTTCTTACCACTGGAACATTTTTAAAGTCAAAACGACAAAACTGAAAACATAACTGTGCTACGAGAAAGACTATGAATGTGAAAGGTGCTGGTGGCTCAGACTGGTAAACAACTGTCTTCCACCTGAGCTTTGTGGGTTCACATCTTACCAGATAAACATTTTTAAAGTAAAACAGCTAAAAGTGAAAGATAAATGCGCCCGGAGAAACACTATGAGTGTAGAAGGTGCTGGTGGCTCAGACTGGTAGACACCTGTCTTCCCATCTGAGCTTTGTGGGTTC